ATTTCTAGGTCCTTGAGGAAGTGCCACACCGTCTTCCACAATGGTTGAACTAGTTTACACTCCCACCAACAGTGTAAAAGTGTTCCTATTTCTCCACATCCTCTCCAGCATCTGTTGTCTCCAGATTTTTTAATGATCACCATTCTAACTGGCATGAGGTGGTATCTCAATGTGGTTTTGATTTGCATTTGTCTAATAATCAGTGATGATGAGCATTTTTTCATATGTTTGTTGGCCTCATATATGTCATCTTTTGAAAAGTGTCTGTTCAGGCCGGGCGCGGTGGCTCAAGCCTGTAATCCCAGCACTTTGGGAGGCCGAGGCGGGTGGATCACGAGGTCAAGAGATCGAGACCATCCTGGTCAACATGGTGAAACCCCGTCTCTACTAAAAATACAAAAAATTAGCTGGGCATGGTGGTGCGTGCCTATAATCCCAGCTACTCAGGAGGCTGAGGCAGGAGAATTGCCTGAACCCAGGAGGCGGAGGTTGCGGTGAGCCGAGATCGCGCCATTGCACTCCAGCCTGGGTAACATGAGTGAAACTCCGTCTCAAAAAAAAAAAAAAAACAAAAAAAGAAAAGTGTCTGTTCATATCCTTTGCCCACTTTTGGATGGGTTTGTTTGTTTTTTTCTTGTAAATCTGTTTTAGTTCTTTGTAGATTCTGGATATTAGCCCTTTGTCAGATGGGTAGATTGCAAAAAATTTTTCCCATTCTGTTGGTTGTCAGTTAACTCTAATGATTGTTTCTTTTGCTGGGCAAAAGCTCTAGAGTTTAATTAGGTCCCATTTGTCTGTTTTGGCTTTTGTTGCCAATGCTTTCGGTGTTTTAGTCATGAAGTCGTTGCCTATGCCTATGTCCTGAATGGTTTTGCCTAGGTTTTCTTCTAGGGTTTTTATGGTTTTAGGCCTTATGTTTAAGTCTTTAATCCATCTGGAGTTCATTTTAGTATAATGTGTCAGGAAGGGGTCCAGTTTCTGCTTTCTGCACACTGCTAGCCAGTTTTCCTAACACCATTTATTAAACAGGGAATCCTTTCCCCATTGCTTGTTTTTGCCACGTTTGTCAAAGATCAGATGATTGTAGATGTGTGGCGTTGCTTCCAGGGCCTCTGTTCTGTTTCATTGGTCTATATCTCTGTTTTGGTACCAGTACCATGCTGTTTTGATTACTGTAGCCTTGTAATATAGTTTGAAGTCAGGGAGCATGATGCCTCCAGCTTTGTTCTTTTTGCTTAGGATTGTCTTGACTATGCGAGCTCTCTTTTGGTTCCATATGAAGTTTAAGGTGGTTTTTTCCAGTTCTGTGAAGAAGGTCATTGGTAGCTTGATGGGGTAGCATTGAATCTATAAATTACTTTGGGCAGTATGGCCATTTTCATGATACTGATTCTTCATAACCATGAACATGGAATGTTTTTCCATCTGTTTGTGTCCTCTCTTATTTCCTTGAGCAGTGGTTTGTAGTTCTCCTTGAAGAGGTCCTTTACATCCTTTGTTAGTTGTATTCCTAGGTATTTTATGTGAATGGGAGTTTGCTCATGATTTGGCTGTTAGTCTGTTATTGGTGTATAGAAATGCTTGTGATTTCTGCACATTGATTTTGTATCTTGAGACTTTGCTGAAGTTGCTTATCAGTTTAAGGAGATTTTGGGCTGAGATGATAGGGTCTTCTAAATATACAATCATGTCGTCTGCAAATAGAGACAGTTTGACTTCCTCTTTTCCTAATTGAATACTCTTTTTTTTTTTTTTTCTTGCCTAATTGCTCTGGCTAGAACTTCCAATACTATATTGATTAGGAGTGGTGAGAGAGGGCATCCTTGTCTAGTGCCAGATTTCAAAAGGAATACTTCCAGTTTTTTCCCATTCAGTATGATATTCGCTGTAGGTTTGTCATAAATAGCTTTTATTGTTTTAACATATGTTCCTTCAGTACCCAGTTTATTGAGAGTTTTTAGCATAAAGGGCTATTGAATTTTGTCAAAGGCCTTCTCTGCATCTATTGAGATAATCATGTGGTTTTTGTCTTTGGTTTTGTTTATGTGATGGATTATGTTTATAGACTTGCATTTTGCTCTATTGCCTGGGATAGAGTACAGTGATGTGAGTGTAGCCTACTGCAGCCTTGAACGCCGGGGGTCCAGATCTTCCTGCCCCAGTCTCCTGAGTAGCTAGGACTACAGGCACTCACCACCATGCCTGGCCAAGTTTTTAAATGTATAAAGATGGTGTCTTGCTGTGTTGCCTACACTGGTCTCGAACTCCTGAGTTCAAGCAGTTCCCCCACCATAGCCTCTTAAAGCACTGGGATTACAGGTGTGAATCACTGAACCTGGTTTGAAATTATTTAATTTAAATTAATTAATTTATTATTTTATTTTATTTCGTTTTTGAAATGGAGTCTTGCTCTGTTGTCCAGGCTGGAGTGCAGTGGCGCAATCTTGGGTCACTGCCACCTCTGCTTCCCGGGATCAAGTGATTCTTATGCCTCAGCCTCCCAAGTGTCTGGGATTATAGGCATGTGCCACCATGCCCAGCTAAATTTTTGTGTATTTTCTAGAGGCAGAATTTTGCTATGTTGCCCAGGCTGGTGTCGAACTCCAGAGCTCAAGTGATTTGCTTGTCTCGGCCTCCAAAAGTACTGGGATTATAGGCATGAGCTAGCACACCCAGCCAAAATTATTTTAAATGATGAGACTGGAGAGTAAGGTCTACGTAACCCAATTTTGTTCGCAGGATTGGTAATAATGAAAACTACATAAAATTAAATATTCATTATTTAGAATAGATAAAGATAGATCATCAGTTCTCTGTAATACTATGCAGACATGAAATAGATAACTATAATGAAAGTTATATTAAAAGGTAATAAAATTAACTAATGTTAATTAAATACCTAGTCTGTGCCACAGACTTTTCCCCATTTATAGTCTCTTGTTTATCCCTGGAGAAAACTAATGTAATAGTCTTTATACAGTGAAGAAACCAATGCATGTAGGCAAACTTATCCAAAGTCACGTGGCTGGGAAGGCAAAGGCACAGAGCCTTAGGATTGAGCCTTGTGAGTGTGCATACACAGTGTGCTCATAGCCACACTGGCTCCACATCATGACATTCAATGCTGCAATTAATGTGTATAGTTTGTGTCTTGTTTGTTTGTAAGTGATGCTGCTAAATATAGTTTGTGTCTTGAGAGTACAGAGGACCCACTCCATAGCTGTCCCACATAGGTCACCATAAACTTGTTAGTTTGGCAGATATTAAAGAAAATGGGCCAGATGCAGTGGCTCAGGCCTGTAATCCCAGCACTTTGGGAGGCTGAGGTTGGCAAGTCGCCTGAGGTCAGGAGTTCATGACCAACCTGGCCAAAATGGTGAAACCCTGTCTCTACTAAAAATGCAAAAATTAGCCAGGTGTGGTGGTGGGCGCCTGTGATCCTAGCTATTTGGGAGGCTGAGGCAGGAGAATCATTTGAACCCAGGGGGCAGAGGTTGCAGTGAGCCAAGATCGTGCCATTGCACTTAGCCTGAGTGACAGAGCAAGGCTCCATCTCAACAAAAAAAAAAAAAAAAGAAGAAAGAAAAGGCCGGGCGTGGTGGCTCAAGCCTGTAATCCCAGCACTTTGGGAGGCCGAGGTGGGTGGATCGCGAGGTCAAGAGATGGAGACCATCCTGGTCAACATGGTGAAACCCTGTCTCCACTAAAAATACAAAAAATTAGCTGGGCATGGTGGCACGTGCCTGTAATCCCAGCTACTCAGGAGGCTGAGGCAGGAGAATTGCCTGAGCCCAGGAGACGGAGGTTGCGGTGAGCTGAGATCACGCCATTGCACTCCAGCCTGGGTAACAAGAGCAAAACTCCATCTAAAAAAAAAAAAAAAAAAAAAAAAAAAGCAAGAGAGAGAGAGAGAAAGAAAATGATAATATCCAGGGTTCAGGTACCAGAGAGAACAATGGGCATTATCAAACAAGGTTGGGACTGAATTGCTAAATGTTGCTGGAGCAACTGGCAAGTTTCTTTGAAACCTATATATCTGTGGCCCAGGATGCTGCATTTAGAGTGCTGGAGGGTTACATACAAGGAGACTCAGTAAGTGCACAAAGTAAACTGTAGGACTTTTCATCATTCCTCTTCTGGTACAGGTCTGGAAAATCAATTACAGATTTCCCATTCATTCTGTCTGTATCCTGGCAATGATACAGACAGAGTGAATGGGAAATCTGTAAGTTGACCTATGTCTCTCAAGATCTACAGCAACTTCTCACCCATACCCTTCAGCTGCTCAGTGCCACCCTTCTCCCCGGAATCATTGGTCATGAGATTGAGATTACATATGTTTGATGTCGTAGGAGGCAGTGACCTTCAAGGATGTGGCTGTGGTTTTCACTGAGGAGGAGCTGGGGCTGCTGGGCCCTGCCCAGAGGAAGCTGTACCGAGATGTGATGCTGGAGAACTTCAGGAACCTGCTGTCAGTGGGTGAGCACAGACACCCTCTGTAATGGAACATCAGGCCCCAAGAGTGGCTTTGTATCCTAGAGTGTTTGTATTAATTTGTTCTTATGCTGCTATGAAGAAATACTCAAGATGGGATAATTTATAAAGAAAAGACATTTCATTGACTCACAGTTTCACATGGCTGGGAAGGCCTCAGGAAACTTAAAGTCATGGTCAAAAGTGAAGGGGAAGGAAGGCATCTTTTTCACAGTGCGGCAGGAAGAAGTGCTGAACAAAGTGCGAAAGGCCCCTTGTAAAACCATCAGATCTTGTGAGAACTCACCCAGTATTATGAGAACAGCATGGAGGAAACTCCTCCCATGATTCAGTTATCTCCCACCAGGACATATGGGGATTATGGGAACTACAATTCAAGATGAGATTTGGGTGGGGACACAGCCAAACCATATCAGTGTTCAAGTTTGAGTACGCAGTGAGAACCTAAATTTCTACTAAATTTTACCTAGGATGTATTGGGATTAAGCATGTGACTTTGTTCACAGGGCATCAACCTTTCCACGGAGACACTTTTCACCTCCAAAGAGAAGAAAAGTTTTGGATGATGGAGACGGCAACCCAAAGAGAAGGGAATTCAGGTAGGAACCAAGCAACCATGCATCCTTGTATGTCCTTGTATACGACTCCCCCATCGGTTTTACTTCTGTCCATTGCCCAACTCCATTGCCCTGGTGCAAATGGCCAAACCTGTTTCCTGGATTATTACAACCTCCTTCCTGCTGGTTGTCCTGCTCCCCCCACCCCTCTTTCCACCCTGACATCTGTTTTCCTCATAGCAGCCAAAGTGATCCTTAGGAAATGTAAGTCAAATTGCCATTCCTCAGCTTAAAAGCCTTTAACTTCTTATTTGTGTTAAAGTTACAATTGCTTTCAGTGCCTTTTAGAGACCCTGGATCTGCTCTTCATCCCCCACCGCCTCTCTGATGACATCTCCTGTGCTTTCCCTCTTGCTTCATCTTTTCCAGCCCTGTTGTCCTCCCTACTGTTTCTCATCCTGCCAAAGACACTGTATCACCTGTTGCTGGTACCCAGTGACCACAAACTTAGCAGATTAAACAACAAACATTTATCTTTGTGTTCTTCAGATATGAAGTCTGACACATCTCACTGGACAAAAATCAAGGTGTCCCTAGGGCTTTGTTCCTTTCTGGATGTTCATGGGGAAAAGCCTTCACTTTCGTTTACCAGTCCCTGGGCACTGTCCACACTCCTCCATCTTCAAAGGCAGCTCCATTGCATCCCTGACCATTCTTTCATAGTCATGCCACCATTCTTCTTAAGCCTCTGTTTTCCACCTTTCAGGTCCCTTGTGATCGGACTGGTCACTCCCACATAATCTAGAATGACTTTCCTACTTTCTGTTTAGCTGACTAGTGACCTTAATTGCATCTGCAACCATAATCTCTCTTGCTATGTAACATAACAGGTTCATAGGTCCCGGAAGTCGGATGTGGACATCTTTCAGGAACCATTGTTCTGTCTACTACAGAAGCTTCTGTCTTAGAGTTTATACATGCTCTTCTTTCTGATTGGAATATGCTTTCACCTCAAAACCTTCTGACCCTTCCTTTATTCTGGTCTCTGTTTGGTTTTAATATCATGAGAAAGGCCTTCTTTGACCACTCTATTTAAAATACCAGCTGGGCATGGTGGCTTCACACCGGTAATCTCAGGACTTTGGGAGGCTGAGGCAGGCAGATAGCTTGAGGCCAGGAGTTCCAGACCAGCCCGGCCAGCATGGCGAAACTCTGACTCTACTAAAAATACAAAAATTAGCTGGGTGTGGTGGCACAGTCCTGTAATCCCAGCTACTCAGGTGTCTGAGGCACAAGAATCGTTTGAACCCAGGAGGCAGAGGTTGCAGTGAGCTGGGATTGTGCCACTATACTCTAGCCTGGGTGACAGAGTGAGACTTTGTCTCAAAAATAAATCAATAAATCAATACTAGAATGGAATACTATCCTGCCTTTACCCTTCTGGTGTTGTCTTGTACTGTGTCTCATGTATTTCTATTTACCTATTATCTCTACCCCCTGGAACAGAATGTCTAGGAGGAGGACTTCTACCTGCTCAATTTCTATTTTAGATTCAGGAGGTACATGTGCAGGTTTGTTATCTGGGTATATTGTGTGATGCTGAGGTTTGCATTGTGAATGATCCCGTCACCCAGGTACGGGGCACAGTACCCAGTAGTGGTGGCAGGATAACCCTCAGGTTTCCAGGCTGTGTGCACTGGTATTAGAGGTAATGGTGATGGGCTGGCTAGGCCAGTCCTGAGACCCCCACATGGTGTGTGCAGGTGAGTGTCAGCAGTGGTGGTGGCAGCAGGTTCGTAGGACCTACCCTCAGGTCACTAGGAGGAGCGCACAGATGCCAGTGGTGGTGATCAGGGCAGGGAAATCCTTAGGCCTCTGGACAGCATGCTTAGGCACCTGTGGCAGGGTTCCAGGTCTGTTGTAAGGCTCTCTCCATGGTGCATGCTCATGCCTGGGGCGACCAACACGGCAGTTGATCTCAACAGCCCCAAGTGGTATGCTTGGGTAGTGGAGGAATGACACCAGGCCAAGTGAGCCTGTCCTCAGGCCTTTCAGTGGTGCAGGCAGATGCAGACTGTGGTGGAAGAGGTGGCATGATCCCTTGGTCCCCAGATGGCATGCTCCGGCACTGGTGGCACACAGCTAGGCCGTCATCAGTTCTCTTGTTTGTGCACACATATGCCTGAGGCAACACAGGGCAGAGCAATCCCCAGGTCCCTCTGTGTCATGCTTTGGCACTGAGATGGGCAGCACCAAATGAAGTCCTGAGGTCTGCATGGGCACAGGTTGTGGTAGGCAGTGCAGGGGATTCCCCAAGCATCTAGATGGTGTGCTTGGGTGGCAGTGGCAGAGTGTGCAGAGAGCCTTTCCTTAGTATGAGAACACATACAAGTGTACAGTGGGCCTGCTGCTGGGGGATGGGCTAGCATTGCCGTCAGAGGCAGCAGCCCCAGAGAGGCAGCTTTCAGGCTCTGGTGAGTGCACACTTTGGGTCCTTTTGTACTGTACTGGGGACAGCCTCCCTGGTGTGCTGCACTGCCCATTCCCCAGAGTGTAGGACAACATGTGGCCTAGATTGCTGGGAACTCTGCCGTACTGCTGCGTCTAACAGGCATTCCGCTATTGCAACCCTCCAGGTGGATGTGTGTGGGGGCATGTCGTTGGGGCTCCAGGGAGTTGGAGATGCAAGGGCTATTGGGCCCCAGGGCAAGATGCAGTCTGGTGGGGGTGCAGACAACAAAATAACACTGGGCCATAGCTTATGAGTCTCATGAGCACCCTCTCTGGAGCGGTGCCATTGCACAGAGTCCAGATAGCCCCCTATACTAGTCTCAGGGCCCACAGGGGTCAAGGGGCTCTGTCATGGCTGATTGCTGGAGTCCACAGTGGAAAGGGAAACCACTAGGGATCTCTCACTTACCCTTTCCCAACACTGAGGAGCCTTTCGGGCTTTCAGGTCGTCACGGCCAGAAGGGCTCCATCACTTTACTCTCCTTTTGTGCTTCAGGTGTTTCCAGTCACTTCCCTACTTTATTTTTATTTTTATTTTTTATTTTTGAGACGGAGTTTCGCTCTTGTTACCCAGGCTGGAGTGCAATGGCGCGATCTCGGCTCACCGCAACCTCCGCCTCCTGGGTTCAGGCAATTCTCCTGCCTCAGCCTCCTGAGTAGCTGGGATTACAGGCACGCACCACCATGCCCAGCTGAATTTTTGTATTTTTAGTAGAGACAGGGTTTCACCATGTTGACCAGGATGGTCTCGATCTCTTGACCTCGTGATCCACCCGCGTCGGCCTCCCAAAGTGCTGGGATTACAGGCTTGAGCCACCGCGCCCGGCCTCACTTCCCTACTTTATTCCAGTGATCCCTCTTAGATGCAATTCGATGTATGATTATTTGCTTTTTAAATTTTTTATTTAAAAACATATAGAATACTTCATGAATTCGCATATCAGCCTGTGCAGAGGCTGGTCATTCCAATTTTACCATATGTGCTGCTGAAGTGAGCACTACTCATTATTTTGACTCTTTGTGGAGGAGGCAAGCTTTAGGTGTCTTTAGTCAGCCATCTTGAAGTCTTCCTACCCTTAAAGTTCCTATTGAGTCACCATGTATATAATTTATTAGTTACATAATATACCATGCAAGATTTTAGACTAACTAGGAAATTGGTAGAAATAGTAACAAGTTAACTGTATATATTATATTAATATTTTAAATTAAGTCTTTCATTTCAACCATGTATGAGACATTATGTGGTTCAAAATTGGTTTCATGAAAACAAGAGATTGTGGCGCACTTGGAAAACACAAACTGCACCTTCCTTGTGTTCAGTAAAGTTTCAGGCCATGTCCTAAGTGAAATCCTGAAGACACTGAACAAAGGCTTCACTTATCCACATCTCTTCATTCTGTGTCCTTACAGGAGGCAAGATCCAAACTGAGTTGGAATCTGTTCCAGAAACAGGACCACATGAAGAGTGGTCTTGCCAGCAAATCTGGGAACAAATTGCAAGTAACTTAACTAGGCCTCAAGACTTCGTGATAAGAAGCTCTCAGTTCTATACACAAGGTGATATCCCCTCCCAGGTTGATGCAGGACTATCTATAATTCACATAGGACAGACACCATCTGAGGATGGGAAGTGTAAAAAATCCTTCAGTGATGTCTCCATCCTTGATCTTTATCAACAATTACACTCAGGAAAGATGTCCCATACAGGTAATGAGTACAGGAAGAGCTTCTGCTATAGCTCAGCTCTTCATATTCATCAGAGAGTTCACATGGGAGAGAAACGCTATAAGTGTGATGTGTGTAGTAAGGAATTTAGTCGGCGCTCATATCTGCAAACTCATCAGAGAATCCACACTGGAGAAAAACCATTCAAATGTGAGCAGTGTGGGAAAGCCTTCAGCCGTAGATCAGGAATTTATGTTCATTGCAAATTACACACAGGAGAAAAACTTCATATTTGTGAGGAATGTGGGAAGGCTTTCACTCACAATTCCCAGCTTCAGGAACATCAAAGAATCCATACTGGGGAGAAACCATTTCAATGTTATATATGTGGTAAGAGCTTCCGTAGTAGAGCAAATCTTAATAGGCATTCCATGGTCCACATGCAAGAGAAGTCATTTAGATGTGATATCTGTAGTAATAGCTTTGGTCCAAGACCAGCACTTAATAGTCATTGCATGGTCCACACAGGAGAGAAACTATACAAATGTGAAAAGTGTGGAAGGAGCTTCATTTGTAGGCAAGATCTTTATAAGCATCAGATGGACCACACAGGAGACAAACCATATAATTGTAATGTATGTGGGAAGAGCTTCAAGTGGTCCTCATGTCTTTCAAGACATCAGCGGGTCCACAATGAAGAAACAACATTCAAATGTGACAGATGTGGGAAGAAATTTTATATGAATTCACAGGGCCATTCACATCAGAGAGCCCACAGAGAAGAAAAACTGTATAAATGTCAGAAGTGTGGGAAGGGCTACATTAGTAAGTTTAATCTTGACTTGCACCAGAGGGTCCACACAGGAGAGAGACCTTATAATTGTAAGGAATGTGGGAAGAGCTTTAGGTGGGCCTCAGGTATTTTGAGACATAAGAGACTCCATACTGGAGAAAAACCATTTGAATGCGAAGAGTGTGGGAAGAGGTTTACTGAGAACTCAAAACTTCGTTTCCATCAAAGAATTCACACTGGAGAAAAGCCATACAAATGTGAGGAGTGTGGAAAGGGCTTCAGATGGGCCTCAACTCATCTAACCCATCAGAGACTCCACAGCAGAGAAAAACTCCTCCAATGTGAGGACTGTGGGAAGAGCAGTGAGCACAGTTCATGCCTTCAAGACCAACAAAGAGACCACAGTGGAGAAAAAACATCCAAATGTGAGGACTGTGGGAAGCGCTACAAGAGGCGCTTGAATCTAGATATGATTTTATCGTTATTTTTAAATGATATATAATTATTGTCCATATTTATGGGTTACGGCATATTTCAATACATGTATAGAATGTATAATGATCAAATCAATGTTATTAGCATATCTATCACCTCGTTTGTCATTTGTGTTGATCATTTATCATTTCTTTATGTTTTGAACTTTCAAAAATCTGCTGTTCTAGTTATTTGAAAATATTATGAATTATAGTCACCCTTAGTACTGTGGAACATTAGAACTTGTTCCCTTCATCTTACTGTACTTTTGTATCTGTTAACCAACCTTTCACCCTCCATTCTCCCTCCTGCTTTTCCCTTTTAGTAATTGCTATGCCATGCTGCTTCTGCTTTTCTTTTTTCTTTCTTTTTTTTTTTTTTTTTTTTTTTTTTTTTAAGACAGCATAGTGGCACGATCCTGGCTCACTGCAGCCTCCGCCTCCCAGGTTCAAGCAATTCTCCTGCCTTAATCTCCTGAGTAGCTGGGATTACAGGCACACACTACCACACCTGGCTAATTGTATTTTAAGTAGAGACGGGGTTTCACCATGTTGGTCAGGCTAGTCTTGAACTCCCAACCTCAAGTGATCCACCTGCCTTAGCCTCCCAAAGTGCTGGGATTACAGGCATAAGCCACTGTGCCTGGCCAATGCTATGCTGCTTCTATGATGTCAACTTTTTAGCTTTCACATGTGAGTGAGAACATGTATTATCTTTCTGGGCCTGACTTTACATCACTCAACATCATGTTCTCCAAAGCTTATTTCTATCTTGCTATAAATCACAGAATTTTGTTATTTTTTATGGTTAGTGTTCCTTTGTGTATGTATGCCACATTTTCTTTACCATTTTCTATTGATGAACACTTAGGTTGATTCCACATGTTAGCTACTGCAAATAGTACTATAATAAATAGAGGAGTGCAGACAGGAGTTCAACACACGGGTTCCTTCCTTTCCTTTGGATATATAGCTAGTAGTGGGATTGCTTGACCACTTGAATCTTAATCCGCATAAGCGAATCTACACTGGAGAAAAACCATGGAAGTGTGGACAGTGCGGTGTATGTTTCAGTCAGGCGTCACATCTTCAAATTCAGTGTCTATTCAGTAGAGAAACCTTAATGATGTGATGTATGTGACACTCTTTCCTTCGCCTTAACAACTATAATCTCATATGAGAGCTCACATGAAAGAGAAACATTTAAAATGACTAAATGTGTGGCCAGGTGCCATGGCTCACGCCTGTAATCCCAACACTTTGGGAGGCCAGGGCGGGCAGATCACTTGAGGTCAGGAGTTTCCAACATAATGAAGTTAGATCTGCACTTCACACTATACTTAAAAATTAACTCAGAATGATCAATGACCTAAACATAAGAGCTTAAACTATATAACTCAGAATAAAACATAGAGGTTAATCAAGACTTTTTATTTGAAATAGATTCTTAGATAAGACACCATATGCACAAACAAAGCCCATATAAATTGGACTAGAGTAAAAAAAAATGCTGTGCATAGACATTGTCAAGAGCATGAAAAGACCATACAGCGTGGCTTCTAGAATCAGAATATATAAAGAACTCGTAGACCAGGTGAGGTGGCTCTCACAATCCCAGCATTCTGGAAGGCTGAGGTGGGTAGATTATTTGAGCCCAGGAGTTTGAGACCTGCCTGGGCAATATGGCAAAAACCATGTCTCTACTTAATTAATAAGTAAGTAAGCCAGGCATAGTGCCTGTGGTCCCAGCTACTCGGGAGGCTGAAGCAGAAGGATCGCTTGAGCCCAGGGGGTCAAGGCTGCAGTTGCATGTGATTGCACCATTAAAGAACTCCTACAACTCAGTAACAAGAAGAGAAACCACCCAGTTTTCTAATGAGCAAAGATACAAATAGAAATTTCAGATAAGGCCAGGCGCGGTGGCTCACGCCTGTAATCCCAGCACTTTGGGAGGCCGAGGCGGGTGGATCACGAGGTCAAGAGATCGAGACCATCCTGGTCAACATGGTGAAACCCCGTCTCTACCAAAAATACAAAAAATTAGCTGGGCATGGTGGTGCGTGCCTGTAATCCCAGCTACTCAGGAGGCTGAGACAGGAGAATTGCCTGAACCCAGGAGGCGGAGGTTGCGGTGAGCCGAGATCGCGCCATTGCACTCCAGCCTGGGTAACATGAGTGAAACTCCGTCTCAAAAAAAAAAAAAAAGAAATTTCAGATATACAAGTTACCAACAATTGTGAAAAGATGCTCATCTATTAGTTGTTAGGAAAATGCAAATCAAAACATAATGAGATACCATTTTACAACAGCTATCTTAGCTATCATTTTTAGAAATAGAAAATAGCCAATGTCGTGGCAGGCACTGTAGTCCCAGTTACTTGGGAGGCTGAAGTAGGAGGATCACTTGAGCCCAGGAGTTCTGAGGTGTATCGAGTTATGTCCGCCGGGTGCCCACACTAAGTTGACATCAACGTGGTGAGCTCCCAGGAGCACGGGACCACCATGTTGCCTCAGGAGGGGTAAATTGGCCCAAGGTGGAAACAGAGCAGGTCAAAACTCCCATGCTGATCAGTAATGGGATGTTGCCTGTGAATAGCCACTGCAATCCTGCCTGCACAACATAGGGAGATCCCGTTTCCAATTTACACACACACACACACACACACACATTTTATACATAGACATAAAATAAGTATTGGAGAGGATATGGAGAAATTACTACCCTTACGCACTGAAGGTGGGAATGTAAAAATGGTGCAGTTGCTGTGACTGCTTAGTGGGTATGGAGTCTTTGGGGTGATGAAAATGTTTCCTAACTTTATTTGTACCAGATATCCTAAAATGGTGAATTTTACGTTTTATGCATTACACCTCAATAGAGATGTTTTAAATAAAATACGTTAAATAAAATACGTTAAAATATTTTGTATAGATAAAACAAGAAAGAAAAAACACCGAACGTTTTTGTTGAGAAAATATTTGCGAGATAAAATGTTAATATCATGAATATTAAAACTGTGCTTGAAAAATGAGGGATAAAAACCAAAAAACAGGAAAGTGGGCAAAACATCTGGACAATTTACAGAAAATGTAATAATGACATCTGAAAATATACAAGAATATTCCATTTTGTTTACAAGAGATATAAAACTACATGCCATTTCTTACCACTGGCAAAATCTTCAAATAATTATTTGAAGATTGTATCATCTTCCTTGTTCCCTTTCCAGTAACACTCCTGTCATCACTAGAGGCGTTTAGACTGCAGGAATTCCTGTCTATACGATATTTTCTCTTGGGTACTGGGGTGAGGGAAGGACGACTCTCAGGGTAGAAGTCCACATTTCCCAACAGGCGCTCGGGGATATGGGATCCGTTCCCCGTGAGAAGAGCAGCGAAGGGCTTTCCAGTAGTCGGGAACAGTTCCCCTGGAGGGTGATGCTGCGGGAATGCAGTCCAGACGCTCCGTAGAGTCGCGGTCAGTTTGACTCTAGCAGGCAGATCCAGGGGAGTTCTGGGAAGTGTAGTCCAGACGCTCAGTGGAGTAGCGGTCAGTTTGGCTACGGCAGGCGGATCCCGGGGCATTCTGGGAAGTGGAGTCCAACTACTCAGAGGCGTCGCGGGCGCTTCCGCTCGGGGATTGAGGTTGGTGCAGTTTGTCCGCGACAGTTTGGGTCAGTTCCGCGCCTTGAGGACCCTTCTGAATTTCCGGGACCTACGCCTTGGATTCTCAACGAACTGGTTATCGAATTAGGGGTAGAGGAGTCTCGCCGGAGAGCAGAGGTTTGGAGGGGCAAGGGCCGCTGTTCTAGTTTTCGTCAAGCCCTTCTTGGGCATGGGGCTGTCCTCGCGTCCGGCGTGCATTGGTCGGGGCGCGTCTCACCTGGTTTCGGTGTTTCCGGGGCTCTGAGCTCGCGCATTCTGCCTCCCTGCACCCCACGCGCGTGGCCACTTCCTCCCGATATAACGTTGGGGTGTTCATCTCCTTGGGTCTGCCGTTACTGTTCATTAAAATGGACACTTTAGGACCATCCTGATAGAATCGTTTTGGGAGCTGGAAGAGGTAACACAGATGAGAGCCTTAAATCAGTCCCCGTCACTTGGTGACTAGTGATCTCTTGTTAATTTCTCACGAAGGCTGTCAGATCCGCTGGTGGGGTCAGAGCTCCAGCTGCAGGGACACCGGCCCTTGTCCCTGATCCCTGCAGGACGCTGGATGATCCCGGACGCGTTCTGACCTCTTTTTAGGAGAGCGAGGGTTGCGTGCGCTTCCAGGAAGGGACAGGAGAATTTAACTTTTATGGCAGGCACCTGTAGAGTCCCAGCTACTTGACGCGGTCAGGGTGTTTCACAGCCTTCTCCTCCCCCAACCCGACCTTTCCAAAACAGCTGCAAGGAGGGACTTCTTGGCTTCTGAGGGCAAAGCTCTACGTGAGTGGTCCTTAGTTCTTTTCTTTGTCAGAGATCCTCACCCCAACCGAGAGTGTATAGGATGTTTCCTTGAGCATGAGTGTTGATATTAAGTCTTAATTAATAACTTCATTCCAAGGGCTTATGCCACACCGTGGCTCTGTGGAGAAGTATCACTTTTTTCTATTTTAAAAACGAAAGTGAGACACAGGGCGCATAGGTACCCGACTAGTGAGAGGTGGAGCTGAGGTTGGAACCTAAGCAGTCTGGGTCAAAGCCCGATTTGATCTTCTCTTGGATACGTTCTCATTGAAGCAGAGGAACTAGCTGCACTCAGGTGGGGAAAGCAAGTTAGGGCTTTGGGAGGCCTAGGCGGGCGGATCAGAAGGTCAGGAGTTCGAGACTAGCCTGGCCAACATGGTGAAAGACCCGTCTCTACCAAAAAAATAAAAATAAAAAATTAGCCGGGAGTGGTGGCAGGTGCTTGTAATCCCAGCTACTCGGGAGGCTGAGGCAGGAGAATCGATTGAACCTGGGAGGCGAAGGTTGCAGTGAGTAGAGATTGTGCCATGGCACTCCAGCCTGGGTGACAGTGCAAGACT